CTGCACGTTACCATAGTTCCAGGACTCAAGTCCCGTGCTGGTGTTGCTGGTCGAGAGCATAGGCGGTTGTGCGAAGCCCTGGGGAAGCTGCGGTGTGGGTGTCGACTGCTGGATTCGGATGGCCGGGTTCGCGAAATCGGTGTATGCGCTCGTCATGTACGAGTTGGGTGCACTGCTGGATGAAGTGCCGTAAGACTGCTGCTGGGACTCGAGGTAGTCGTTGAGGAGCTTCTGGTCGTAGAGATGTTGTGCGGCAAACTGCTGGGGCAGGTGTTGATAGGAGGAGTGTGAAGACGGTGGTGACGGTATGGTTGAAAGGTGGTGACGTTGTGTGGGTAGCGCTAACATAGTGGTCGGGAGGAAAAGTAAGGGACCAGCGCGGGTGGCAAGTTGCTTTATACTAGTGGGCTACCGGCCGATGACTCGGTTAGTCTTCGCCGATTTGAGTGAAAGACCACTTGATGAGGTGATCTGGGCAGCACGCGGTCGAAGACGTTGGAAGAATTCAGAGTCTGCGTCGGCTGTGCTCGGAGTGTCGGGATTAAGGTGTGTGTGTGTGTGTCGTAAGAGATTGCAAATTGCTGAGCGACAGTTTAAACGGCTTGGGCTGCTGAGTACGCGGAATCGGTTTCCTTTCATACCTCATCCTATGACGCAACCCATGTTGGGCGTTGCAGGGGTGTCTACGCTAACATTACGCCAACGCGCAAAAGCGGCGCGATCGACACCACCCTCACGCACCCTGCATACGGCCGCCGCGGGCCCTGTCCGACCGAAGGCTGTGCAGAACCCGGCAGACGACTGTCTACCATACAGAATTTTCCACATGCCTTCGGATACCAGCCGAGAGGCTTTCCCCCAGCGTCCATGACTTGCTCCCAAAATACTGTGCAATCGCTTGTGCCCATCTAGGCGATCTCTGCAGGCATGCTCTCCACGTGAAACGGAGCCCTACGAACCGAACCGTTACTCATCGCTGTGCCAGTCGCTCTAGTGTGCAGTCGGCATGTAGCTTGTAGGGCATCGTGCGACGGACCAATTCCAAAGGTCTGTCCATGGTGACACGCCCGTATCTGGTCTAACAGATGGCCGTTTAGGCTCGCTGGGACTACGATGCTCCAAGACGGGCTGAGCAGCATCGTTCCATGCACAACCTACTCGACAGCGCATGTGCATTACGAATACCAGATGGAGTACGCGACGGGCACCAGCCACACCTCGGCCAGCGTCTACAGTGGTCACATGTCCTCACGCGTGACTCACAGCTGCCCTGTGGCATTTGAGTTACTGGGCCCAAGACCGTGATATGATACTGCTTTCAGCTCGCGTGTATTGGACGCGAGGCCACGCGGTATCGTTTGGAGATAACCGTCAATAGCCTACCCCATACTCTGTACTATTGATAGCTGGATCTGGTGGCCAAACGGCTCCCGAGGACCACTCTGCTGGCTAGCACAATGCACATCTCTTCAAGAGATGCTGAAACTGGAGATCGATCCATGAACCAATAAACTGGGATGTGCACCTACCAGCTGCGATACTACTAGCATATGCATCCGAGGTCAGCTCAGATACCGTCTATCCTGCAGGTGGAACCTCCACTTCCGCTTCGGCACTGGCAGCATCCTCTACTCAACAACGGCACTGCCGTGCAACATCCCGACAGCCACAGGTCGAGTACAGCCAAGGTTGCACAAGGAAAACTCTTCACTGAGACTCTCCCTGCTGAATAAACGGCATATGCAACGTGCTGCAAGCATCCTGTGGAGTTGCAATGCAGCCCTAAAACCAACGTGGCATCGCATCGACGGCCTCGAACGGGTAAGATCGGTGGAGAAGGACACAAATGCAGGGTCCATCGCATCACCATGTGGCAGTGCAGCCCTATCGTATGCACGGACAATGTAACTGTTCCGGCGGCCGCGAGGTGATCTGGACCGTTCATTCGCGCGTCGAAGTTACTAGCCACATTTCTAAGCCGGCGCCCTGCCACCCGAGCCTTCTGTATCCTTCGATGCCACAACCCGAGTTCTTCTTTCATATTTTGCAATCTCATGCCATGGGGAATACTGTGTCCTTGCAGTCGCATTCGTATTGCGTCCATCTCCGTCGGACCGAACGAATGCTATCTCATCGCTTATGAGGGTCCATGACATCATCTCTCCGAAGTCTCCTCACCATCCCTTCCCTCACCATCCATCCCAAACGACTGCCGTGCAGAACTCCTGCTTTGCGCTTCTATTTTTGCGAAGCAATATGTCCCCAATGAATATCCTTTCCCTGACGTCTTAGTCGACAACCTGCTGGTCATTGAAACTGCCCATCACTTCTCGAAGCTCGCCCGATGTGGTCATCGATCGCCAACGGCTGAGCGGGCATCATCCCTAGCCCTTGTGCCCGCCAATCCGCGAGCGCGGGATGATGAGACCCTGCGTCTGCTTGTTTTCGACAAAGTTTCTGCCGGTCCACCTGCTATGACAGGAAGCATGACTGCCGATCATGACGCCTGAGGCCTGATAGTCGCGTGTTTGTGACTTCTCCACTCACAACGCAGCTGTGACATATTCGATGCACCGGTCACTATACATCTTCAAGTATGTATGGATAGCATGGCAATGCTCGCCCAAGGATTTCTATTCCTACGCTTTTATCTGTTCTCCATCTGCCGGGATAAGATTTTTACAAGTCCTGCTCGCATATGCAGGGCAAGCGCCTTCCGACGTTCTTCCACCCAACGGTTCTTTTGGGGTTCGTGAGGCTTGGAAATGTAACAGGGCGTCGACCGTTTCCGGTTTTGTGCCTCATGGCATTCGGGACCTGGTTCGCAACGTCATCCGTCATGCGCTCAGTCACAACCGCTCTCCTGACTGATGCATCACCAAGATAATTGCTTCTTTGTCACTGGAGATGCGACCTGAACTAGCGGATCCTGCGACACCAATACCGCGATGCGGAGTTCATCCGGTCGTTCGGTCGGTCGAGTTCGGAGATGTGCCGAGTCAAATCTCACCACACCCTCTACGCTGACTGCATTCTCCGCAATCTGTTGGCCCTCAACACTGCAAAAGCATTCCTGCTTCCTCTTTCGTTAACCGGTGGCATCACCTCGGCCGCACCATAGAGCGACTTTACGCCGAGACACACTTTAAGCGCGAATACGCGCGGAGTTGCGTTATCTCCGGATTCCACGCGACCCTTTGCAAATTATTCATGCGTTACTCAGCGCTGACAGATCATGAATCTTTGTCGCAGTCGGTTGAAGGTCCGTCGTTGCTCCGAAGTAAACCCATACGCACTGCATACGAGAATCCTATACACCATCGGCGCAGAATAACCGGGTGCAGGCAGCTAGTCCACGTTACGAGCCTCTTGCGAGGCTGATGATGGTAAGCAAGCTAGCTTACGATGGTTCAGGCAACGGTACGCTCAACGCGGGTCTCAATACGGGCTGCGGGTGTTCGTGCGCTAAGCCCTCTGTCTGTGGGTTGCGCTTTCTCAGATCTTGTTCTCTCGCTAATCTGCGATCAGTAGTGTGTCTCCACATGGCGACACTGTCAGCGCTGCTCGTTTGGGGCCGCGTAGGCTTTGGCCACCTGCATGTCAGCCTCGCAAGCCTTGATCCTTGATGTAGGTGTAAGCTTTTGGGCTGTATGTAAGGTTGCCTAGGTATGCTGGACGTCTGTCGGCGAAAATGTACCGTGGAACTGGATTCCACGTGTACATGGGCATTAGCGTTAATGTTGTTGATGCCTTAGCAGCGATCTTGGTCTTCGCAAGCATGTGGAGAGTTGTGAGGTATAGAGAGCTTTTGTATACATGTGATGTTTAGAGTCGAATGGTCTATGGTGCATATCATTCTTCTAGTGCGGCTGCTTTAATGACCCCGCACTCTATACTCCTTCTCCCTGATCAAACTTATTGCCAACTCTATAGGTACGACCTGGATCTTCCAAGGCCACATGAACACCTTTTTCTGCGAGTGGGAAGCAGACGTATCTCTTGCAAAGCTACAAATTTTTCGGTGGATATCAGCACTGATTGTAAACGACTAGCTTCGCGCTGAGGATCTACCTCAGTAGTTACTCGAATCTACCAAATACATAGAGAGCGGGGTCTTTACCAGTAGCCTTACCTATGAGCTGACCATCGTACGCATTCGCTTCGTCTCTAGCAACATCATTTCCTGGTGCTTCACGCAGTCTGTTACCAGCCTAGGTAGGTATTCCAAAACCCAAATGCTACGTGGTCAGTCACCGCTTTGCTAGCTACACCTATGAGCTTGATGCATTCCAAATCTAATATGATTAAGCAGCTGACTCAAGGTAGATCCCCAGTTTACGAATCGCATGCTTGTTGTTCGAGGCGGCTCTCTCTGTGTGCGATCTGTGCCACGATGCGTCATTCTTGGTTGATGTTTTCGCCATCTTCATCACAGAGGAGATGCGACGCGTCGTGTGGGATGAGAGCTAAGTGGTTTGATCCCGACAGCTTTGCAAGTAGTGCCTCTTCGCATTTGGCTTCTCTGGACTTGCATCAATGGCATCCTGGACGCGCGGTGAGTTCGGGCGTCCGCCTCAGCGAATGCGCAGGATGGCGCCTGAATGGGCAGTAAATTCAGTACCTCTCACAACACTCTAGTGTCTGTAAGTAAATTACGTCTTTTGAGTATAGAAAAGTTAAGGGTGCTTAAGCGGACGCTCCTGCTCCTGCTGTTGTGCATCATCAGTTCCGCAAGGGCGCGCTAGCATGAGCGCCTTGCCATATTTGGCATAGAGCAAACATTGAGCATCGAGCCTTGGGCACCTCCTTCCACCCTACTACAACCCCGCTGTTGCAGATCAATCGCATTCACCCACTACACTCGAAGGCGAGGTGGTGGTCTTACATCTCAAAGCGACGCTTCCTCGCATGCTCTACGCTTAGCGCACCTTCGTTCTGGCGCTCTAGGTCGCCGCGGGTCCGACACCGCATCTAGCTAACCTACCCAAAAGCGGAGTAAAATGGCCATCGCTCCTGGGTATCCCGGCTTGGAAGTCACGATCAACGTTGATGGTCAGCCGTTGCATGAGTATGACGACGACGATGAGGATCCGGCACCGAAGGCGACCACAAAGTACATCGAGGCGCGCTCAGATAGCAACTTCTCGATCGTAACTAGATTCAGTGCCTCTTTTTCGACTCAGTACCATGTTAGGGGGCGGCTATCGATTGACGGAGTCAAGATGGCCTCATGGTTCTGGCTACGAGAGGACCTTCTTAGAAAACCGTTCGAGAGGACCTCTATTCGTTGGCAAGAAGGTGGACAACCGGTCAAGCAAAAGTTCTCTTTTGCTAAGCTGAACATTGGTAAGTACTATGAACGTCGTGTCCTGTCGTGAGCTGATGCATTCACATAGTCGAAGAGGCTCGTGGATCTGTCCCTGATGTTGCTGCGCTGAAGCAAAGCCTCAGTACTACAGGGTGTATCACTTTATCCTTCCAGCTCATCAAGAGTTACCGAGAAATTGAAGAGAAATCTTTCTCTGCGCAGGTCCAGCTTGCAGCTCTGGAGGAAATCCCCGAGAAGGCGCTCAAGGGTGGCGCGCTATCGCACCAGATAGTGTACGTCAAGAGCGAGTGGAACTGTCAGAAAGGAAAGAACTAACCCATTTGAAGTCTGTCAAAACCTGAAAAGTGCTCGAGGTACTCAACACCTCGCTACGGAGACTACGATTACCTAGACAAAGAGCCATTCGCAACGTTCCACTTCAAATACCGATCACTTGGTGAGTCGAAAACTACGTTCACGCTGTGACAATCACTGATACGAAGGTCTTTCCAGCGAGCTTAAGAGCACTTCGGCTTGTTACAGTCAACGACCCTGCCCCTGTTCCTCTGGAAGAAAGGCCCGAAGAAGACCTTACACCTGCCGAGCTGAGAGAGCTGCTACGGCGCGTACGGAGAGTATGCATGCGCGTTAACTCACTGATGTTGAAACTTACAAATATCTGCAGCGAGAATCAGAAAGCGCTTCTATCAAGCAAGAACCCGAAGCTACTATCAGAGTCAAGCGCGAGAGGACCACCAACGACGGTGATGAGGTGACCTATGTCGAGACGCGCCAACGCAAACGTCCGCATGTGGAGCAAGAAATTATTGTGATAGACTGAGAGGATATCTATTCGGTCTTGACGGCGCTGAGCCTGAGATGGTGTCAAAACGCCGAAAGATCGTCTACACCGAAGTGGGAGCGAACTTCAACCCCTGGGCCAACTCCAAGTTTACGCATGGAAGTATACTGCCGAAGTGTTGATGCATGTAACCACCTTTAGAGGCATGTATGTACAATTAGTCATGAGAGACCGTATATTTCTACATGTCTAGTAATAGTTAGAGATAGCCACTCGGGAAGTTTAGTCGCCGCTCATATATTCACAACACGCTAGGACCTGTTAATAGAATAGCTGCCTTCACCTTCTCCAACACCATATACTAACTTCATTCACGCCTAGCTCGCTTCTATCACTACGCCTAGTTAGTGGGCGGTATCTAACGATTTCCAGCATTCTAATCTTGAGACCTCGCTTCCTTCTTTTTTCCCAGCAGTAACACGACTTGCTTCTAGAGGTCCTCTTGCACCATGGCTGTTCTTCCCTTCCTGCCCGGCCTTGCCCTCGAGATCGTCGTCGACGGCGCTTCACTGCCTGAGTACGATGACAATAGCGACACTCCCGCTTCGCCGACGATGGTCACCAAATATGTCGAGGCGACCTCTGGGGCTAACTTTACGATCGAAGTCTTGCTCATGGAGGAGTTTCCTTTCCCAAAGGGTCATCTAGAAGCCGAGATCAGTCTCGATGGGCGAGTGTTCATGTGTGAGCTTATCAGAGAAGATCAATTCTTCAACGACCATTTGATGGAGGGACGTCACTCTCAAGTTGGTCAATACGCAAAGACACAGAAGTTCTTCTTCGCAGAGCTGGAAATTGGTAAGTTCACAGTGGATGGGAAGTTTACGATGCGCAAACAGATGTTGAATATGTGAAAGCTGAGCTGACGATCGGAAGTTGAAGGAAATACACCATTCTCTGACTTGACTTCGACTGGTGCCATATCTGTCAGCTTGAGGTATATACGGAATCTCCGGTGCAGCGTGCCGAATCACATCGTCGAGAGTACCCCAGCATCGATTCAAATTTCCGAGAAGGCGATGAAAGGCTACACTCACACACATCGAGCTGGGTACGTTTAATCACACTTTATGAAGACAATGCTAATTTCACAGTGTATCTAAACCTGTCGCCCGCACATACCAAACTTGGTGGGACTACGATCGCGTCACGAAGTCTCCGTTTGCTACCTTTAATTTCAAATACCGTTCCTTGAGTAAGTCAAAATAGTTTTGCGACGTCGTGCCACCAGCTGATCTGTGTAGATGCTCTCCGCATCCTGGGTCTTGTCCCACACGAGCCGACCCCTCCGCCTCTGGAAGAGCGACCCGAAGATGAGCTCACTCCGCATGAACTACGCCAACTCGTCAAGCAGCTCAAGGTACATTGTCAGCAAAGTATTATACTATCACGTACTCACTATGGCAGGATCGCAACGCAGCTTCGGTCAAGATCAAGAAAGAAGCCGGTGTCAAGCGCAAGCGAGTCGATGAAGCTATCGAGGTGAGCGATGAAGAGGGGGTAATGGTTCTTTGGACTGAAAACCGGAAGCGTCACCGTGGTGCGGATGACAAGTTCATCGTGCTAGACTAGAACTGTGTGTTGGTCGTGCAAAAGTTTTTCTATTATGGTTTCCTTGAGTGGAAGCTGACGGGATAGGGATATGACGAGACCTGGTGAAGGATACAGATGCGCTTATACTCACCTTCAAAACTGATTGAGCGCTATGTCCTTCGCAATAGCGACTCTCTACTGTAGATGGTAAGAGCATTATATCAATCTCCTGTCATCACTTGTCCCTAAATCCAACTTGGTGTACCTTTAGTCACAATTCATGCGTAATACCTCTTACTCTCGGGATACGCACTCACATCAAACCCAACCAGCATGCCATACTGCCTTTACCTGACTGTCGTCACACGCTAGCGTACAATTGGATCCATACCTATATACACCATCTTCCTCTCGTTCCATCTACCTTCCACTTTTCTCACCGTCACCCAAATCGGTTTACGACATCAGCATGGCGATCCATACCGACTATCCTGGCCTGACAGTGGATATATACGTCGACGGCAAACCACTTGAGGAATACGAGGACTCGGAAGAGGAAGATGTGCCTAAGACAACCACGCGATACGTTGAATGCCGGTCGGGTGCGGAATTCGCGATACATACGAACTTCAAGGCACCTTTTACCCCGATGGATACAGACTTGTGCGTTCGTCTAGACGGAGTAATCATGAGCAAGTTCATCGTGCTCAAAACGGAAATGTTCATGAGACCTTACGATCAATCGAACACGCGCTGGAACGATAACGGGACGTGGAGGGCATCTAATTTTCTCTTCTCAGACCTCAGTGTGGGTATGTAAGCTCCAAATGGAGCCGAAAATACGATCGCGTACATACTGAGACATTCTAGTCGAAGAGAAGAGTGCAACGACCTTTAGAGAAACCCTAGAGGCTCTGAGCTCTGTGGGCACTATATCTGTCAAACTTACACCAATCCTAAGCTATCGGAAAAGGATACATCCAAAAGGCAAAAAGACAGAGTTAAGAGAGGTTGGAGAAGTCTCTGAAGAATCTGTTAAGGGCGATGTGCGCTCTCACATGATAAGGTATGTCCGTATTGTAGATGCCGTTCAGAAGATGCTAAACGATGAATAGGTTGGCACCAGCACATGTCATAGAGCCAGCTACTAAATACATATCTAAAAAGGCGAAAGAACCTCTGGTAGCATTCCAGTTCAAGTATCGCTCTAGCGGTAAGTCGTTCGTGTAAGCGCATGATCAAAATACTCACAAGCAACAGCCGCACTGAAAGCTCTCGGCATGATACCCCGCTCACCAAGTCCACCTCCAGCTCCTAAACTAGAGCTGGTCAAGAAGGAAGAGTTACCTGAGCCCACACCAATCATTGTCCCAAACGTCATGTCAACTGCTGCCACTCTACAACCAAATATCGTCAGCAGCACACCCACTCCGTTCCAACAGGGTTCTGGCCAACCTACTTCCACCGAACACGACGGACTCAGAGATTCAGAAATCATTGCTCTCATCAAGCACTACCGCGGCGACACCAAGGGACTGGCGGGTCAAAGCCGGAAGCGTCTACTGCTACTGCTCAAGCATTACGAGGCAAGGATTTACAAATTCGGGACCTCGAAGCCACTAACCATCATGCAGGAAGAAGACACCGAAAGCGTACAAATCAAGCAAGAGCCCATCTCAAATGAATCGCAGGCGCGGATCAAGCGCGAGCACGATGATGATGGCGCTGCGCGCGGACAGGGAAAGAAGCGCAAGCCTGAAGTAATAGTCCTGGATGACTGAGCAGCATGGAGGGCGACTAGATGAGGAAGCTGAGGGTATGGTTTTCCGTGGTTTATGCAGTGATATTTATCTGCTTTGCGATCTGGGTTTTGGAAAGAGACGCGGTATTGGAGAAAAGCACTCGGAAGGGAATGGGCTCAATATCTCCTCCAGAGACATGCGATGAAAGGCTTTCGAAAATTAAACTGCGAACGAGTGTCAGCGAAATGAATGCGTTATGATTTGCGTCGGACTATTGCACACATTCTGTCGACCCCGATCTACCAACGCGCAGCAGTCGCAGTAGGCGTAGCATACGTGTCACTCCAACTTGCCGTGTACTTTGAACTTCCCACAATCGTCTGACTCTTCACATCCGCAAACGTCGCACTGGTGACAACACTATCAGTGCCAATCCATGTGCTCCACGCCGTCGCAGTTGTAACACCATCGACAGGCCCGACTGGAAAAGCGGTAGTCTCAGCCCAGGCACCAGACCACACGGTAGGTCCAGGGATGACGTAGTCGGTGAAGCAGGGAGTAGTGGATGTCTTCGGCTTCCTAGTCTCGGTGGAGCAGTATACCTGTCTCACGTCAGCGAACGAACCATGGGTTATGACTTGGGTAGAGGAGACTCACATTGTGCACAACACCCGGATCCTCATAAGAGTACGCTCCAGGGAAGCTCACACCTTCAGGCAATTCCACCTCGCCATCGCCTTCAACCTCGATCTGAACGCAGTCGGGGTAGAACTGTGCGCCTCTCTTCGGGTTCGCGAGATAGCTCACATCGCCCTCATGCAGACCAACCATCTCCGCACGAATGATATAGTGTCCTGCCTTCAGCCCCTCCGGCACCCTCACATTCATATGACCAAAGTTCATCGCAATATCACCAGTGGTACTCCACTTGCCCGCCTGCGGAAAAGGATTACTTTCAAACTTCCCCTCATGCCAAATCTTGACGAAGGAGTTCTCCGTCGGCGGATCGGGCGAGATGTAGATGAGCGAGGGGCCATGGTGCGAGTTGGCGATGACTTCGTCTTTGTTGTTGCGGTTCTCGTGGTGCCAGTCGAAGGTTAGATTGTCGCCAGGTTGCACTTTAATGGTGTCGTGGGCTTGGATGTCGCCCATGACGTTGCAGCGCATGTCGATGGAGTCGAGGTCTTTGACGGGCGAGTTGTTGTAGCCGCCTTTGCCATTTTGGCCGTTGTAGGCGGGGATGCGGACGCCTTTGAAGGTTCCTTGGTCTATGCCGTTGACGAAGACGCCCTGGGGGTGTTAGTATGGAGACTGGGGAGTTGGGAATGGATGAGCATACCCAGATGAAAGTGTGAGCGCAGGCTTGTCCTGCAAGAAGCGAGATGAGAAGTGCGGAAGTGCGAGCCATGATCATGGACTGTAAGATTGACTAGATTTGGAGAACACAGAACGCAACAAGATATGCTACACACATCACAAATACATATATACCCAAGTTCTGATGCAACACACAGTATGCTGGCAGGTGATGAGGCTAGTGTATTGGGATGCATTTACCCGATCGGACTCAGATTGTTAATATATCAGGAGTTTGGTAACGTCCAAACACAGCTGCAGATCTGGAGGCTCCAGCGGGAACATCGGACGTGTCTCCGGCAATGTGTAATTGGATCCGTAGACTGCGGCCGATCATGGTGTTTGACG